TTCCCACGTGCCAGCCTGACAGGGCTCCAGGGCAAAGCCTGCATGGGGCTTCCCACAGAGGTGGTACCCTGCCCCTCAGAGATCCTCCTACCTGGCTTCACAGGCAGCAACCCCGGTGAGTTTCCCCGTTGTCTGTGCCTTGAAGTAAGAGCTGGGAGGGTAAACAGCCATGGAGGCAGAAAGCTCATTGCGTGCATGGGAACTGGTTCTGCCTGGCTGCTGTGCAGCCAGCAACCTGTTTCCTACTGCTCCGTAAAAGACCTGGACATCTGCAAGCCCTTGCTCTGGAAGGAGAAGAAACCATGGTGCTGCTTTCTCAGTCAAATGCCAGCAGAAGTGAGTGCCTGCCCTGCAAACCCAGCGGTGAGGAGCTCCCCTCCCCAAGCTGGGCGCACCCCCCAGGGATGCACTGGTGCAGGCAGCAGGTAGAGCTCATCTCTTCCTTCTTGCATGAATCACTTGAGTCTCCTACAGTGGGATGTGCTTTATTAAGATCTAGGCATCAAAAATTAGGCTTGTTATCCTGCAAAGAGCTAGGTAACTTGCCAGTGCGACTCTGGTGTCAATGAAAATCTAGGACTTTCAGAGGTTTTCTCATACTATGGAGATGACTGTCCTTCTTCTGCATCCATCAAAGAGACAAGATGCCTGATTGCTGGATGACTAAAGTAGGGTGAGGTGGATCTGACCATACCCTTGCTGAGCTCTGTCTCCTCGTCTTTGGCAAGGAGATATAAAATATTCTTTCTTCCTGGGTGTGCCTTGGTTATTCAATTTAGATGTTCTTGGGCAGAAACTGTCTTTCACTATTCGTCTCTGCTAACTGTGGGAAAATAAGTGACCTTTAGCTGTCTGGCAAGCCTGAAGAAACCCAGAAAAATAGCTGAAACAGATTAAAAAAGTATCTAACGCCTTTTGTTTTACTCCAATAGAAATATGTTGTTTGTTAATGAGCTCTTCAAAACATTTATTTTTTTTAATGATGCCAGGGAGTTCATTAGAAACAAGTATTTTTAAATATGAAAAATAAACCCCCAATAATTCATTTGCAAAACCTGGCATTCAGATATTATTTTTTCCAGATTTTGTATTGCCTTTAGCTCCTTCATATGTGATAAGACAAAGGCATTGCTGGCATTTTACAAGGAAGGTCCAGGAGCTGGGTGCCTGTTTTCCTTTGGCTCTGGAGAAGACCAGCTATAAGAAAGTGATTCAGCGATTTCTAGAGGTGTTGAGTGGGAGCGTGGAGTGCTTAGCACTTCTAGAGCTGAAACTGCTTATTTAGTTACTCAAACTGTGAGGCAGCTGGTTTGGCATTTGTCAGGTGCTTTGCAAGAGGATGGGTTGGTGGCTTGCAAAGATGACTGAACTGTATCTAGACCTGTCATTGATGGGTAAATAATTGGTATTTCCATTGCAATGTGCAGGGATTCCCTTCTAGGGTTGATGCTGCTGGAAAGTTAAGGGTGAGAATTAGGTATCCCAGGAAATCCCAGGCACTGCAAATCAATTACAAATGAAACAACCCTTTTTGAGGCTATCCAGGAGGTATATTTTTTGTGCTGAGGAATTTTCATTTCAGCTGAGAAATGAAAACAAATCATCACCTCAAAATGGGGACATTTTAAAGCAATAATATTACAGTGTCATGATTTCAGGGGTTTTGCAATGTCAGATAGCATCATCAAAGCTGCTCGAGAACATGGATAGTTCATCACTGGGATGCAGCAAGGGAAAAATTCTTATCGTTGGAAGTGTGTTATCCACATGTTACCAAGGAACAAAGCTCACGGCAGAAGCAGAGTTGTGTGCATGGCACACTGAACAGGGAGGATGGCAGACTCCAATCACAAAATACCTCATCTCTCTTCTCCAACACAGTTAAGCACATGTTTGTTTTTAAGGACATCAGATGTGTTTGCCTTAATGTTAAATATGTACATAAGTCCCACATTGAAACGCCAAGGAGTGGATTGAGACTTTTATGTGCTACATTTCCATTCCATTTTGTCTTCTAAAAAATCTTCCACACAGAGATTTTTTTATGGACAGTTCAAAGGCTTTCCTACCACTTAATTTTGTGTGTCTCACTTAACGGGCTAAGTTTGGAATGCGGATTTTATATGGACTGAGAAAGTAGGATCTGCTCCTCATCCTCACCTACCTTCAATGAAGCTATTGCAAGCATAAACAAGTAAATTATATCTCTAAATTAGGCAATGTGAATACGTGGCTGCATGCAGAAAATGTTAATGGAAACATACTACAAACCTGGTGTCTGAGTCTGGAGAGAGCATGTGCCTGCACAAATATCACTTATTTCATAATCCCACCAAAGCTGAAGAGTTTGCCATCAGTAAAGGCGATGGGCTGGAGCATTACAGGAAAGCTGGCAGAATAACGCAATACATAAAACAGCAAGAAAGAACAGATACTAACTAGTGTGAACAGGGCAGTGAGCAGCGTGCTGAAAGATCAGAGACGCACCAGGTCAGGAGCGGATCTGGACACACAAAACACCATGAAACATGGCAGATCACAGCACTGCTTAAGGTAGGCAGATGTGCTCCTACTGAAATAGATGCTCCCCACCACTTCAGCAGCTTTCTGTTGGCCTGCGTTTGTCATCTGGTTCCAGCTACCCTCACAGACGGTGAAATATCTGCCCTGGGTACACTGAGGTAAGCTCAGCTGATCTGAGGCAGCCAGCTTGGCTCATCTTGACTCCGTCAGAAAGAAAAAGGGTTCTCAGATGACTCTATCAGGAGCAGATACCAGGCGGAGTGCTGGGAGGTAGCACAGCAAGGAGGTCCATAAGCAAATAACCACATGTGCTCTCACAGTAATGAAGTGACTCTTTCTCTGTACTCTTCCTTGATGGGAAGCGACAGCCAAAAGAATCATTACCGGAGACGGCAACTTGGGCAGTACAATGACAGAGAGAAGAAGATTATTGCCTTAACATTGTGCCCACTGCAGCTTACAAGCCAATGAGATACAAAGGAAATGAAATGAGCTGACACCTACTTAGCCTCTTCAGAGAAGAATATTTACTTGGGTTTGTCTTGACGGCAGACTCATAGGATGGTGGGAGGTGAGAGAGGTTCTGGAAGGACCGGGAGAAGGACAGATCATAGGGTTCGGTGGCAGAAGTAAGGATGTTGTTCATTCGTGGCTTGTCTGGAAAAAAAAAACACAACAGAGAAAGGCATGTCCACAGTGTGCACCAAAACACGTCGAGAGAGGCAAACCATTCCCACAAACTCCAGCAGGCAGAAGAGCTATCTCTGAGCCAGCCTCAGTGACAGGCTGTTGGATATAATTCAAACTGGCACTGACAGGTTGGTGAGAAATGGATCCTGTGGTGTTGTTTCCTTGTCCACAGTGATGATGCAGAGAAGCAAACGGCTGCCTCGAAAGTGCATGGACCAACCAGCCCTTGTCAGAGTGGGACAGAGGGTCTGGTGGACTGTGAGTCACTTTGCTTACCGTGGAGGGCTGTGGACTGACCCTACTGCAGCCTGCATGAGTTCAGGCAGCATCACCTACATTTAAAACACAGCAAGTTGTGATTTCCCCACCCTCAGAGCCATGGGAATGACTCTATGGGGTTATTTTAACTGAAGCTGATAATCAAATTGCTCTCTCATCGTACCAGATTCCTGATTAATGCTCTGAACATGGAGGCTCCTGGGAAAAGCTGTTCCATGGCCTCAGGGGTTCTGGTGGGCTCTGGAGATGGCCATGCTTCTCCTGCACACAGGAAAGTGTGAAGCGGAGCTGTGGGGTGTACGTCTGGGTGCAGACAGAAGGCAAGGCAAGGTTTGGAGAGGTTCCTGAAGCAAGAAAGGAGGTGTGATCCCTGCGGGGGGAAGGATGCCCCTCTACTTATTTTCATTTTGTTGGCACTGAGGGAGTCCCCAGCCAGTGTCAAAATGCCTGTGGTCAGGATGCTAATGCTGAGGGCACTGTCAATAAAGATTAGCACTGAGCCTGGATGTTAAAAGCAAAGTCCAGACAAGCTGCAGATTTTGTATTGTATTGAAATCATGGTCCTTTGCTGCAAGCTGGATGGAAAACGGTCCTTCATCAGCTTAGCCAAGGGACAGAGACCTGTTGTACTGTATTTCTAACTCCCATCTTTTCAGATACTAAAATAGTCAGAGAAAAGAGTATTAAAAATAACAGGAGCTTCAATTATTAGTAGCAAAGCTAGAACAGACTGCAGTGGGCTCTGCGGGACCTTACAGCAGTGATGGGATTGCATTAGCTGGTTGAAAAGGCCAAGGAGGTAGCTACTTCAAGCATGGTCTGAAAATGAAACCAGAGGACTAAGTTCTCTGAGACAACTGAGGAGCAGCAGAGTGCCCAAGTCTTGGGTTCACACATTCCTGTTGTGCACCCCTCTAAAGTGCGCTCGTGAAGAGCAATGCAACATGTGCTCAATACGTACTCACATGCCTCAAGACCCTCTTACCTCCTCTGAACCATGGACTGGTTGAGATTAAAGCACAACTTCTGCCCAAAAGTAATTGAAAAGGGGAGTTTCACCTCGACAAATGTGTTGGCTTTGTGCAGTGTCCAAATATTTGCTCACTTCCCTCATCTCCCACAAAAAATTTAAAATGCAATCCACCCAAGTAGAGTGTAGATACTTCAGAGGATGTTTTTCCAGAGTCACAAGTTAAACTGTTTCCTGCAAAAAAAAATTTGCAGGAGTCAGGCCATCTCCTCCCCTGCTGCCTTTCTCCTGCATGGAGTCCTGTTTGCGTTAGGCAGCAGAATGCCTCCTCCTCTCTGAGTGCTCACATTTCACTATGTCCTTGATGCTCTCTGTTGCCTAGAAATGGACCCAGCAGTTCCCACGCGTGTCTGCGTGTGGGGATGCGGAGCTGCCTCCACAACTTTTCTCTCACTGTGACTTCCCCTAGATATTTTAAACCTTGTGTCACATACCCTTCACATTGCACACATGCTTCTGGGTCAAAGACGGCCTGGGACAGTCTTGTCTTCCAGCACAAACCTGCTCATGATTTCCCAAAGCCAGCGTGGTCAGAGCACTCCTCTGCAGCTCTCTGCAGTTACACGCCCTGTGCTCAGTTCAGAGGCATCCGAGCCATTTGGCATATGCCAGGGTATTTAAGACACCCACAAAAGGCTGAAAGGAGTGATGTGGGTCCTATCAGAGATCTGATGCCACCCATGTTTTGGTACGTGAATTACAACTACGATGTCAACAAACCCAACACTTGCTCCTTCCCACCCCTGCCATCAGTGTTTCCACGCACGCTGCCGCTCCATGAGCTTCCTCACAACGAAACTTCCTG